GGATGTGTACGGTCGGATATTCGTCGACGACTCGTCGAGGATTTTCGCTTGTTCAGTCACGCTCTCCCGCGCGGACATTCACTCTCGACATTATTCTCAAAGCAAAGAGCCATAGTCGAGGATTTCCTCACCGTTATTCACCCTTTTCAACTCTCCAGAACACACTGCAACACAAGGCTCACAAACGCTTTTGTCCAGATTCTTGCCCAATGGACCCACCCAAAACCCTGAAGGGGTGGGGAGGGCTTGAGTTCATCTTGAATTTTACCTTTCTCCTTTTTCTCAGAAATGAGTGTTTTCACAGTGCATTAGTATCCTATAAACCTTCTCATATAAGTATGAAAAAAATCAAGTATGCGGTATTCTCGGTGAGCTATGCCCGGACGCGAATTTCCACATAAGGCCGACGTCGGACTTTGCGAATCGCTAGCGTCTGCGGTCGCGTCGCGGCCAGTGAATCACTCAATTGGCTGGTACCGCAACGCGACCGCGGACGCTAGCGAATCGCGCGATTCGCAAAGTCTGACATCGGCCTAAAAAATGTTGAAGAGCATTATCAATTCAAAAAAGAAGACCAAAAAATCGAAAATTCTGTCAGAAACTGGGGAATTCTCTTCGGTGTTGCACCAGTGGATGGTAGATGTCGGCTGTGCTCAGATGTCTTGGTCGCGGTGGCTCAGCTCGGCTGCTTTTCTTCATTGGACAGCTTTGACGTCGGCCAATGATGGATTGAGTAATAGAGCTCTTCAAGAGACTCCCCGATAGCGACTCTGAAAAGACACGGTACAATGACCTATTGGTTAGTCTAATGAAACCCACTGCAACAAAATACTCGCGCAAAAGTAATGTTGTTAGCTGCATCTCGGGTTATCGACAGGAGAAGGCCGTAGCGTGGCGAGAAGGCAGAGACGCAGACGAGCAGCGAACGACTGGCACTTACAATTAGTGATTTCGCGTCGAGTTGAACAGAAGGTACTACAGCACGTCCCGCATCATAGAGCACGCGGTGCGACTCGTCCGCTGATCAACTGCGTCCCTGCATTCACGCCGAGTGAAGGGCCTCCTGTCGGGTATCCCTTCATCTTAAACAGGGAGCAAAAACATACGATGGTTTGAGCACTTCAGAACGCAGTACACGCATACACAAACACAATTATTCTGCTTAGAAGCACGTACTCTCGCAGTTATGATGCCACTCGAATTGCAGCAATCGTACCAGAAAGATATGGCGCCTCCAGCGTGCGCTACGGATGTATGGGTGTGATCGGTGAAGTTGTTAGATTGGTGATGTTAACTGGTTAAGATGTTCAAAGAAGGTAAAAGCAACAAATTTGGCCATTAGATAGGCGGAAAGTTCTCGTCCGACTCTGTTTTGAATACTTTGAAACTATCCGACATGCAACTCAAGAGGTGTGTACAGTACCTTTTACCCTCGACGCCGACGCTTGGTCAGATTAGTTTGTTTGTTGACGTTTTTCTCCTCGAGAAGGCGCGAGTTGGGACACGAACCAATCATTGAGTGCCCCTCTTATCTGATTCTCTGCCTGAGGTTTTTCGTTTAGGAGAGCTGATGGGGCCAAAGAGGCAGCGATCGAACAACGTTAGGACGAAGCTGTAAGAAACCTGGGTGATCACCAGCCAGCAACGATCCACGGTCAACCGTCCATTGATAAATTACTAACGGGATAGGCTTATGTGGCATTTGGAGGGGCTGTAGTGGAACATGTAGCGGGTTCGTTTTGTGGTGGGTTTGTAAGGGAGGCCGTCTTTGACGAGTTTTCAAGAATTTCTTGAATTTATCACGAAGATAGCGTGCCCGCTCAAGGACACCTTTGGAGTGAAAAGTGTGCGCACTAGTAGTGGGTACGGGATTCGGAATCAAGTACCGCAGAAACTCAGACATTACCGCTACTATAAGCAAATACAGAATAACCGCGGAGTTAAAGGCACAACCCAGACAATGGACACTGAACGCTTGCCTTTGGTCTATGGTATAGACCCCTTGAAGACAATCACAAATGTGGTGTTCCCGTGGGCGGAAACAAACCAGCCAAGAGCGCGCAGGCCCTTGAAAATCAAGCTGAGCACATACGTTTAATCTATCAGGCAGGATTGTCTCCTCTCTCCATTTAACGCTCTCTCGCCTCATACTCGCCTCGCCGCCGCTTAGTCGTTTTCGATTCCATTCGCCAGAGCGATTAGCTAGGTACATGAAGCTCCTTAACACTAGCGTCATTCAACAGCATTTATTTTCTTGACTTGCGCCCTGAGCCTATTTCGCACCAATACATTCGCATTCGTGTGCAACAGCCACACCAATGTGATCCTGGGGCATCCCTTTAACACGTTGACGACATCGCGCGTTTTGGGTTTTTGCACCGCGTGGGACAAGGGCGCTTTTGCGAGCGCGCCGTCACACCTCACACCGTAAATTTCGAACGATAACCTTGGGAAGCTTCAAAGGTACGAAACCATTTCAGCAATATTCAATGCGTAGAAAGTAATCGAAGATATAGTAGCGAAATTCCGATCAAAAAACGTGAAATGGTGAAGAAATTGGAATTTAAGTCCTTTTCTCTGTAGTGGATGCCAAAACTATTTTCGATGTGGATGTGTCAAGTGAAACATATATCTTTCTATCCCTTTAAGTTTGTATTTACTTTCACTACCTTTTCTCACTGACATGTTCATCAGAATAGGAAGAAAACGAGGGATGAACCGAGCTGCCAATTCCGCTGTGCTTAAAAAACTTCTGCTAAACTGGAGCATATTTGATCATACCGTGACCCATGTCGTTTACAGTTATGTTATGTTGTAATCCATAGAATAGAGGCAAGCAAATTGGGAAGAATCCCCGCATACGCTAGAAAAAGGGATGACAAGGGTGAGACGCGCAACCGCGTCTCAATGTCCAACGAGGTGCGCAAAGTGAGACGCGTTACCGCGTCTCAATGTCGTCAATGTGTTAAGGTGAGGTCGTCGGTGCTGATAGGAGCACATTTTTCGTCAAAATTTTTAAAAATTTTTCCCAATTTAACGGCTGATCCGTGCCCTTCAACATTAATGGACCGGGTGCTTGTCGACGTCCACTACAATCTCACACCGCAGAGCAACCTAGGTTAAGCTGGAGAAATGCATGGGGCCGGATCTGCCCCTCAAGCTCCAACACAGCGCTGACCTTGCTCCACCTGAATACTGCCTCTGAGTCACCTCCAGCTTCACGCACGGAATTTCAGGAAATTCACAAGACGGGGAGCATGTATTGCAAACGCTTTCGATTAGTATTTGAAATTCAGCTCCAACCATGCTGACAGGACACGGAAGGAAGCGGCGCATAGCAGCATAGGGAACTGTGCTGATCTTTAGATCGCTTTTATATTAAATTTACAACAAAAACAGAATCTGAGAGAAGCTTTCGTGCCATCGCATTAGCATTCATTGTTAGTTGCTCCAAATGAAGGTGTTAGTATGTAGCATTCCTAGCATTTGGCTTTGTATTGCAACTTTCATTTCGATCTTCTGGACTTCTTCAGATTTCGAAGCTCCACCACTCGAAGGATGACGCGCGACTTTTGCCCTTTGCTTGTCGAATGATGTGGGAGTAGCTTGCATTGGGCAGAAGCTGCCATATCCTTGCTCTGTAGCGTCTTCCTATTGCTAAGTGTTAGACGTTCTGAACAAGTCAATATCATTCTACATAGTGAAAGGCACATCCTTATAGCCTTGTATAGGTGTTGGGCCGCAAACGAATCTATATGTCGTGGCTTGGTCGAAGATTGATGATAAGAACTAAAGAGAACTACTATATCCCTTCTAACGTATACACCGCCTTTAGGGAAGGAGTTGCACGAAGTCTACGAGCGATACCGAGTAATGCTGCAAGTACGCTTCTCTGGGGACTGCCCCAACAATTCTCTTTGTTCTCTTCCTTATTTGATCACCTTGCTAGCAAATTCTAGGTCTTTTTCAGGAGCATAAAACCAACCAAGGTCATAGCGGAATATGCCTCCAGCCATTTGGGACTGTCACCCTATGCCTAAAAAGTGTTGATAAAGTAGAACAGAGGGATTTTTCTCCGTAAGTCATGCAGATGGTGTAAGGTCCACAGTGGATCAGCAGGCATCAGCACGGTTCGTCGAAGAAGCTTTTGCAGTTGTACCAGACGTTATTTATGGTCAAAACAAGTTGCGCTGAAGTCTAATGATCCATACTTCTGCTAGCAACTTGTGCTGGCTTCACAATTGCTGGATAAGCAAGTTGCAGTTATCATTTGAGACAGCTGCGAGACGAGCTTTCGTTTTGGCCAAATCTTCCCCATAGGCCCAGCTCGTCGAGGCATCACAATTCCAACGACTTAACGAGATGACCCAAAAGCTGCCCACGAGCGTTACGATCAATTGTCCGCTGTCAGTGATCAATCGACCGTTCGAACACACGAGCCTAGTTCTAACAGTCTAACAAGTGTGTAGTTTAACAAGTGTTAGAGACACTGGGTCAGTCAAGCTTGCTACTCACTCTCAACTGTCCATCTAATCTATTCTGTATCTAGTAGTGCCTTTTTGGAGATTTGCCAAGTTTTAATTACAATTCAATGTTACTAAATTTTAAGATCGTTCAATAACAGTTCATGACACATGAATATACGGAGCGTTTCGTGGACAAGGATAACATTGATAATTAATGAGGTCTGAAAAGAAGGCATCAAGAACAGCTCGCAAAGTTCAAACGCCAGCTGCGATTTCATGGTTTTCACAGTACGCTTCCATTCCAACAAGAATGACATACGGCTGAGAAAAAAGTGAGATCTAAATAATTTCTACGAACAAGGAAGGAATCGTTCCAAGGCAGTTCCGTACTTCTTCTTATTTCATACTGTCGAAAGACATGGTAACTTGTTTCGCCCATGCTTAATTTGACGATGAATTATTTCATTGTGACGTTGACTTCTACTACACTAATTACATGATTTTAGGCCAGAATCTTTAATTTAGTGGTGGGCAGAAACCTGAGTTCTGAAAAAGCTTGTCCTCGCAGCGCGGGACCTCGAACTTGCAACCTTGCCAATTGCGCTTACAAGTTATTGTATCATTAAGTTCGCCACGAAAACCTGAGTTAGGGCGAAACGGTGCCCCGGGCTCCAAAGTAGCAGACTTGCCTGCTAAGCGAGAGATGGGGGGTTAGAGTCCCACCTAGGGCAAAAGTTTTGTTCATAACCCAGCGTTCCTATGAAAAAGTCGGAACGCGACCTGCGGTGTCAAAACAACAATTAGAGGAACTGGAGGTCATTTCAACGGATTATTGATTGTCTCTTAGTTGTAAATAAGGAACACCTTTGATTTATATGGGGAACAACCACCTGGGATTGAGGAAAATGAGTGGGCGAGCACAGGCTCAAGCATCTTTACACACTGCGTGCCATGCACATCCCTCACACCGACGTCTGCGTCTAGCCCATTTTCCTATGCTCTCTCATCTCTATTACTATTTTCACTCCTCAGTGAACAGTTTCCCTGAGGCTCACGACTTGCATGCATAATTGTCTTCACTGTAAAGTCAAACATGTCGCACACTGTTTCATATTTATCATTAATAATCTAGCTACCCTCCTTTTCCAAAAACAAGAAGAGCGTCGGGTGCAGACACCACAAATGACGAGTTCCTCCAATTAAATCTTATTAATAGTGAGTCATAGTGGTAGCCGAAAACATTCACGTTTTGTAGAGGCCGTCGATACTTGTGGTGTGTGGTCTGCACCCGACGCTCTTCTCGTCTTTCGAAAAGGAGGGTATAGAAATGGAGATGTTGAAAAATATTTTGGCAGGAATGCTTCTCCAAGCTGTTTCTCACAAACCACTTGGAAACTTTTAGCTAGAGGGAATGCTTAGGTATCACATAAAACATCGTATTTCGAAACGTCAAATTTTTGACCTGTTCATGGCAAAATGCATATTTTTGATCAGTCACATCATCAATTTGATTTATAAAACAAATGCATGGCTTACACTAGAGAAACTGTCCAGGGCTAACTTACATGAATCAGTAAGTAGTTTTCGAGTTATCTATACCGGTGCTTGGTCATTATTGCTCACATACAGGCTGTAACGTCAACCCCTCTCATGGAACGCTCATAATACAACAATATTAGAATGATTGATGAGGCATTTGCCAATTAAGGACACCAGTGGAATTGAGGTCTGATGTAATTCTGTCTTCTGACAGAGACATCTTTCAGAAGCAAGAGGAAAGTAAGAGTATACAATGTGATCTTCGTAGAACTAGTTCTTCGTAGAAATCTTCGTTGAAAAGTTTACGCGGGACGTGCTAGTCTTACCACTTAGCGATGATGCATGGCTTACACTGGGATCACTCAGCGGCTGTACAAGGTTACTACAATTTCCTCCAGAGGTTTCGAAAAAATGCAAATGGATGAAAAGTGCCCGGTTCTACATTGATGCAGTTGGAAATTTAGAATATGGGTAATTGCGTGATAAGTGGCAGCTAACAGAGGATGATTGGTATTGCTGTCGAGTCTCCTAAAGACAAGGTTCAGGAACAGCTTGAGTGAAGCCTTGCTCCCGTGAGTAGAGGTGTGTGGTCCCACTGCAGATACCGCGCCTTCTTCGTACATTGAACCGCATCACTATGACATTAGGCGCTAAGGATTTCCTTAGAACGCCATCAGAAAGCATCACGGCCCTCCCATCATTCAATATCTTATCTGCATCGCGGTGATTACTTGCTATGCTCTCTGTTCCCGACTGCTTTGTCATATCCACGACTCACATTATCTCTTATTTTCTGCCCACCTCTTACAAGTTGGGCTCGAAGCGTAGAGCAATAAAGCTTCATTTTTGTGTTTTTGACAATTTTTCCCCTTTTTCTCCACGTGCAGCCCACCTCTCATCCCTCTTTTCATAGTTTAGTTGTTATCCTGATCCTTGCCTTTGAGTTAACTCGATTCAGACGCTGTTTTAGGATTCAAAGGAGAAAGCGCCGTTATAGCGGTGATGCATTTTGAATAACAAATTCGTTTAGGAATCCAATTTACAAAATAGATCCGTCACCTCTATACATCAGTTTTGCGTTTCACTCACCGATTCTCCTATGCACCTTTCGCTGAGTGAGGCTTATCAACCTCAATCGGAAATGACGCGATCCTAAGCAGAACAGAATGAAATTCGATGCCTTGCCGCATATTACCAGCGTGCTGAAAGAAAGATTGTAATGGCTGTGTTGAAATAAAAAAAGGATAAAGGATAAAGCATTTGCCGTTGATCAATCCCTTTTGGGATGCGGCACGCATTCTACTTCCATTTGTACATTCGTAGTGGCGTTTGAATGCGATGTGGCCTATACAATGACTTGCGGGGGCCAGCCGATGTTCCCAGACAAGTCTGGTACCAATTAACCGACCCCGGAGGGATGGAAGGCTTGGTTGGCCCGGGCGACTCACGACCCAGGATTTGATCCCCGGACCGCTCGCGTGGTAAGCGTGCCACTTGCCACTACACCACTTCCGCCCTTAAATAAGAATAGAAAAAAAAAACTTAGGGTAAATATGAAATTGAAATGGCAGTAATTGTTGTTGAGACACATTCAATGCGCCTATCTTCAGCCTCGCTGTACAGGTTTTCCATTTTTTAAACCATATGTCCACTTTCCTAGAGCTATAGAAACGCCTAACCCTCCCGGTTCAAATGGCCAGTGGAAAAAAATAAAGGATCTCATGACCTATCCTTTCGTTCTCGGACTCCGTTAAGAGCTGGAAAGAGGATTCCACGATAAGCCGAAGTTCAAAAGCTGAAGAACTTCTGCTAGAAAAGGGGAAGGGCAGGTCCCTTAAAAATGAGACGACCACCCGTTAGGCCTAATCACAAGCCTTCACCGTCCCCTGACTGACTTTCCCTCCCGTCGTATCTCATATCCCTGTGCGGACACCACCAGGTGAGCAGTAGGACACAAAAGCAGCGCGTTCACGTTATGGGTGTCATATCCTTGACGAAAACTCCATCTATGCGGAGTATCAAGCCAGACAAAAAGAGCAAAAAGGGGTCCCGTTTAATGGGTTTGAGCTCATCTTCTTGGTTTTCCTTCATCTTTGCATAGCTAATCACCTCCACCTCGATTCCTAATAGGCTGCATTTCTGCTGTGAAATTCGTCTTCAACGTCAAAGCTCGAAAACACAGCTAAAGTTTCGAATATGTAAAGGCAAACCTGCAAATCATAGTCAGATCGTAGAGCTCCTGTTGTCTCAAATTGTAGGCGGTTCGGATAAGATGCATAAGAGCTGATGGACCATTAGTTAACGTGAACATCGTGACGATAAACGTCACTGTCAACGTTACACGATGTTCTGTCTTGTGCAGCTGCGTCTCGGTATTTCGTCTGTAATTTGCCGTTATTTGAGGTTGTCATGCAGAACTACTTTTTTTGAGTCTATACAGCTACTTTATTGCATATCCGAACTTGCCTTTCGCGAATTCGTTGAACAAATTCGATTGCGAATGAACCTGGATTTTTTCGCCAAAATGTATTCCTATAAAGAGGTCCCTTTTCTATTACCAAACCCAGATGTGAAACCCAGATGTGAGGAGATTCCACGAGGAAATCCTGCCCATCAAATACATCACCACACTCGGCAAATCACATGGCAAACCTTGCAAATGACAATGACCTCCTGAAAAGAAAGATTCGCGTTTGTTGCGGACTTACAACAACGCTCTAGAGCGTTATTCCCAGGGAAACCCTTGTGTGTGCCGTAGACTTCAGAAATGGTTCATAGGAAAGTGATCCGAACGTTTACATCGAGCAATCGGTTAGAGTATGGAGCCTTCTATGGCTGCAGTTCTTCAATGGTATGCCCACGATCAAACCGGTGTGGATGCAGACGAATATGAAAGTATTGGTGCCAAGTGGGCCGGCAGTGAAGAAAAAAGGAAAAGAATCCGTCGAAAACGCTCAGGTTGAGGGCTCACTCACCTTCCTAATTGGCTGTGCTAAAGGAATGAGAGACTAAGCGCGGAAGAGGAGAGTATGAGGCGAGAGAGCGCAACAGATGAGAGGGCAGGCATTAGCCTACTGCGAATGGGATTTTTGCAGCTGTTGCAGCATACTTTGCAAGGTCGTAACGCCTTCATCGGATGATTTCTATGCACGGTAGGGTCAAATATGTGATTGCCTGCTAGGGCTTTATCTTGAAGACCGAAGAAAATCATCCACACGGATTCTGCCTGGGTTGTGCCTTTGAAGCTCATATTGGTTAAGAGAACTTCAGAAGTGAGCGCAATCAGAGCGTACAAAATGCCTTATCAACAACATTCCAAGGAAACTTGGAAATTACTTCGTGGAATGGCGGCTCAACGAACGCGTTTTAGCAATTTTGATGTCGCGAAACTGTTGAACGGTAAATTTGCAGACGGTGCGACTGATCTAATTGTTGAAGAAAGCTCTTCGGAGTTTGAATTCATGTATGGGAGAGTTTCTTGCCAGCCGACCCACATTGTTTCTGACGGTTTTTGGTCGAATTCGTTTATTTTGGAAATTTTAGCTCTCCAAACAAGCAACACACAACAACGAGTTCCAAGAGTGGCCATGAACTGGATACCCCAGGCGCCAAGCGAGGAAGAGGCCGTCCCAGAAACACGTGGAGACGAACGTTCGAGAATGATTTCAAGATCATGAATGTTTCTAGGAATGAAGGAGAAATGATTGCACAAGAATCGGCAACAGTGGAAAGAATTCGTCGCCCGATGTGCTCTTCAGCACGGGAGGAACTAAGTCTAAGTCTAAGTAAACAAGCACACCAAGAACTCGGACAACTGTTTCGTAATTCATCGTATTATTGAATCTACATTACCTTTCGGTGATGTCGCCTGAGACGGAAAGATTCTTTTGTCGCCTTCGTAGCGCACATAACAGCATCATATTGAGAACGGTGAGCAGCACAATCGGCAGGATAATCATTGCCAACGCGTATATCAGCACACACAGGGAAATGACTTGACGAAATGTTGGTGAAAACGGATTTTCACGGTCTCCAAACCATTTTCTGAAACGACTAGCATGAAAAAACATTCAATAGCCGAAGATGATAGATGGCAGGGTGAAAGGCACATTTTGCCATCAAATAAGTGTGAGCTATTGCACTCAGAAACGAATGCAGTTGTGGTAATCGGTCCACCAGGGATAGAGAAGAGGAAAACTTCCTGAAACCCCAAAACCACAACGACAACGCCTCCGCCGCATCGTATGGCGGCGTTTGCATCCCATCACGATCGGGGCGCAATGTAATTTTGCGCGCTTTCCGCGCCCTTTTTTGAATATCATTGCCAGCCACATTACCGCCTAATTCAGGTAAATAAGCCAGCGCTGATTCACGTAAAAACGCCTCCGCTCGCGCATTGTAACTTTGTACACCTTAGAAACTACCGCAAATTTGCCTATAGAGGTAATTCGATGCCCTGATTACGAAAATGACTTTCATTTTCAGCGGTGGCGCCATCTGGCGCCAGTTGGCGTCACCTTGTCACGACACCTGTTTTCACCAAATTCGGTGTAAACTTCTGTATAGGGTTATTTGGTGTCCTGATTACGAATATGACATTCATTCTCGGCGCTGGCGCTATTTGGCGCCTATTTTCTGCTCGTCTGCGCTCTCCAACCGAGAAATATGCGTTGAACAACGTTAATGCCAAAAACGAATGTCATATTCGTAATCAGGGTCCCAAATAACCCCTATACTGAAGTTTACACCGATTTTGGCGAAAACAAGGGTCGTGACAAGCCAACTGGCGCCAGATGCCGCCACCGCTAAAAATGAATGTCGTTTTCGTGATCAGCATATCGAATTACCCTATAGGCAAGTTACGCTTATCCCTAGATGTGAAATTGCAGCGGAAGTATTTAACGTCGTATTGGCGCGGGCTTATCTATAGGAAACTAATGTACTTTGACCGCAAAATGCAGTGGAAACAAAGTAGGAATGCAGCGCCAAATAAGTTTTATCCACCATACGGATTTGGGACATAGTTAGGAAACTGATTTTTGAGGAGGAGGTCTCTCACTTGATTTATTAGGAATTCGATCCCACAGACTGCGCGACTTAGAGCGCTACAACCTGCTGCTGCGCCAGTTTTGCTCCCCAACTTTGGGTATAACTGGAAACAGAAGCCCATGCTCAATGTAGCTACTTTCACCGCTTCATTATAGCGTGATAATATCTACTATTTATTACGAATTGTCGTGCACGAATGACGACATCGATCTAAGACGTTAACGAGCTTCGGTGCAAATAGAAGTTACTTACTAGCGTGCAATATCAATTTAGCCTCCATTACAGTTATGTTAATGAGTATCGCATTGACGCAAATGGTGCAAGTGAATTATGACCAAGTAGGCGTGTAGTTCAGTTGAGGTTGTTTTCATACCCGACGGAGTGATGTGAAGTGTTTACTGGTGATGGATAGGAACAGAATTGCGTCAGCACGTACAAACAATAGCAAGTAATCAAACTGATTTTCTATATTTTATTAGATGGAGCTAGCTACTGTAGCTGAAAATAACCTTAGGTGTTCTAAAGGTTATTAGACGCAAGAGACCTCAAAAATCTCGAACTTTGTGAAAGGATTTTTAGAAATGGTCATTTCTAGCTGCGCCGGAGATGTTATAAACGCACCTGAGCAGCGCGCACCAGGCTCCAGGCAGGGTCAACCGTCCGTTGGACAAAGTCCAACGCATGGCTCTCTAGCGTGTGAGAGTAATGCCGAGAGTGAACGTACGCACGGAGACACAGACGGCTCGCGCAAGGCGAGTGTGAATGCCGGCGCGGAGAGCGGTCAACGTCGGTCCAACGTCGGTCCAATGTCGGTCCAACGTAACGGTTGACCCTGCTGCCGAGCCAGGCGGGGACATTGTGGCACGGATGCGCGTCCACCTTACTTCCATCCCCCTTCAAAGCCTTGCGCGACCTTATTTCCAAAGTCAATCTGTCGATTTTGTAACGAGTATTGTAAGAGGCTATGAAATTTTTTTCCCCCCGCCGGGTTCAATTCATTTCTCAAGGACTCTCAGAAAAAGGAACTTACTCGCTGTATACTGGCAAACATCTGGAATACAGTTGGGTTTCATGACAATATGATCGAACCAAGCAGTAGTACTCAAAGTGCTGATAGAAGGTCAAAAAAGAAGGACAAACTGCCGGCCACCGCCACAATACAAATTATGACAGCTGGCAATTTCCTAAAAAAAACCGTCTCGGAATCAAATGAGTAGAAAAGAGGAACAATATGGGATGATGTGAAGAAGCCGCTGAAAATTATGCTTATCGGAAGGAATAACTGGAGGCACAAGTACACTTTTCGTGCACCTCCCCACCCAATTGCTCATTCCAGCCGTCAACAACGGTTTTTGAAGTTTTTACCATCCTTAGTACTTACAACTTTTTACTAACTTTACTACTACTTGTACCTAGCACCAACAAATTTAGCACTGATAAGAGTGGAAGAGTTCTTACAGATCCATATTGAACAATAACCAATCAAGTTGGTGAGGTAGGAGCGGTTGATAGAATTGTAGAAGCCACGTTGACTGACAATGAAAGAAAAGAAACAAAGCGACCGCGCTTTCACAAAGGACTCTCTTCATTGTTCCCCAGAAAGGAGCTAGGTTCGTGTCAGACGAGTTGTCTGAACTTGATAGCTCCATGGCCCCATTAACCCTGGCGTATTGAGTCAGCCACCACGTCGTCATCTACGTTGCGTGTCATGGGTGTGCACGAGATATCTCGTCCATTAGCTCACTTTTTAGGGCCTAGCGCCATTGTCACGTACGTTGGAGCTGCGACTACGGCACAACTGCAATACCGGCGGGCAGCTCTATCCCACCCGTAGAATAATTCTTTCGAGACGACTTCAGTTGGGAATGTTGCTTAGAGGCTTTTTACTGAAGAAAGATTTCCATCAGTACACGCTCTTTGTGGGGTTAACAAGCTCCATTGGGATCACTATACCATAGCGCAATGTACCAAATTTATAATTGGGTGGCTCAAGTTAGTTGCATTATAATTGGATATAGATAGTGCTGATTCACTTGAGGGTATTGTGTAGGTTGAGGAGAGAATGAGCTTGACAGTGAGAACCGTTGGTCATTTTGACCCACATTACCCTTTTTTGTTACTTTTTTAAATAAAACAGCTACTTCCACATTGTCTCGTTTAATTCGTATAAATATCTTGGACAACAATTCTGATCCCTGGTGCCTTTCGTAAATCATGAAGCGCCTGCATATTGCTTACTCTAACGAACTTCCCATTTGCAGCTTATTGTGTTATGTAGTGCTTTCTGCCCCGTTGGACCTTGAACCACGAAGACTCCAATATTTTTCAATACTTTAAAATTCGGCGAATAACCTCAAAAATGGCCTCAGAAAGCGAAAGCCCTAATCTGACGCGCTGTTCCGATTTCCGATATCCAAAATTCTATGACACCATTCCAAATTCCATTTGATGTACATTTTGCATTTCCTATCTACTGGACCTATGAAAGGTACGGAGCCGACCACGAATCCGAGTCGTTTTTTGAAATAACCTGGATAAGGTTGTTTCGAGACACTGATTTTCCTAATGGTTTTTCGATTGCCCGTTGAACAAATACATGTACTCACCACCACGACCACGACGCCCTGGCATAAAGAGGATTACGAATTCCAACAAGGCGATCGCTACATACAGCTATCACACACCTGAAACTCAAGTGATTTCGTTTATTCATCCACACCTTATCGGCGAATAACACAATGAACGCGCAGTGTTGGTGAAATCGCTTTTAGGATGCGCCGTGAATTCGACATCCATCAATAATCGCAGCAACATTTTAATGATCGTCAGAAGAAGGTGAGGGATGAAGCCGTGGAATGCAATTTGGAAGGGCGATTGCATGCGCAGATCAAGGGTATCTTAGATGGAGCGTAGCGCAGAATAGCGAACCCCTTAGGAATTGTATACCCGAGTTTTGGAAAGAACAAAAATGCTGTGCATCGGCATAGCCCTACTACAATCTCTCTATACAAGCATTTTTTTATTGTGTTACAGCAAAGAAATAAGTGAGTGCTTGACGCAAGAGAACAAACTGGTGAGCACCAAACGCTCAAACGCGTAATTTTACAGGTTGAAAAACCTTCTTTTCAGATGAGTCCGGTGCCAACTGGGAATGACTTGGGAATGATGGTGCTCTTGGTTGGCCTACAGGGTGGTCCAAAATTATGAGGACCGCGTGCGCGCGCGGTCATATCCACTTTTTTCCGAGTCGCTCCATTTTCATCTCCTTTTCTGTGCACTATGTGAAAGGGTACAATGTCTTCTTCCTAATGAAACCAAATTTCATGCAGTTCTCAAAACTAGTGAAATAACTACATCACCTTACGTCAGTCCTCAAATTGAACTCACTAGGGGCTCTGGCACGTTACATCTAGCGGCAGTCTAACGTATCAGGGAAGCTCTTATGAGCAACAGTTCAACTCTTCAATAAGTTTGGAACCACCACAGATGGAAAATTCGGAGACTCGAAAGTTACAGTTACCACCAGGACAATTATCAGATGCAGAAACTAGCTCTCCCTTGTCGACTTTCGTACTCCCAAAATGAAAAAATTGATGTGAAAACCCAGCCAGACACTCTAAAGACTCCACATCTGTAGTGGATAGAAAGCCACTCGAGTACTCTACTTGGGACTTTTTACAGGACCGAGCACCCAAGAATAAAGCAAAAATCCTCTAAAAAGCGATTTTTCGATTGCTTTCGAAGAATTGTTACATATGGAACCTTTTATCCTAATAGCA